AGATTCAAAGAAAGAAGGTTTTGAGAATAATTGACAGTACTAACTAATGTTCTATATTCAGAAAAGGGATTGGCTCTGGGTGTATGCCCTAAAGAACAATGAAGGAAGATTGGCAACAAGTATTTGTGTTTTTCTAACAGCACAGAAGTAATTTCATATGGAATTTGACAAAGATAAGATGGATAATTATGGTTTGGATTGTTTTTGCAAGACATATATACTGCAATGCGGTCAGTTGGTAGATTTGAATTGGCAACTAATGAGATGTTTGGATATGCAATGATAAGGGGATACATAATATTATGATCTTGCTAAATCTACATTGATTTTTTTGGATATATAAGTTTGAAACAAACAGAGCAAGGAACACACAGGAATTGAGTTAATATTTCTTGGTCAAATTCATCTATGATTTTTTATAATTCTATTGATACGGACACTGAGAAAGTAGTAAATTTGTTAGTTCAGTATGACATGAAGTAACATTATTCAGATTAATAATTTGTTCATTTGATGTATATTCAATAGGTTCTATGTCAAGAACTCAATGTACATGAAATAACATAGTAATTAATAATATTTAAAAAGATATTTTATATACATTGAATGGTTTGTAAGGCAAAAAGTTTAAATAATAAAAAAATGCAATTAGAAAATTTTTGCTATTTTTGGTATTGAGAATGTAGTATTACTTTATACAAAACTAATAAACAGTTAAATCACAATCTACAATATAAGAAAAATCGGTTATTTGCTAGAAGCATGATTATGGTGCTTTAAAGAAACTTGTTTTATTTTTATTAGGCTAAATTAGGATCTGAAAATATTATTTTATAAGGGAGTTTGTTAACTTGAAGGTTTTTAGTTTTTTTTACAAAAGTGAGATTGCGGAGTTTTATAACTTTTAGCATTGCTAAAGACGTAAAAGGCTTGGAAAGTAGAAAATCTTTTGATTTTAAATGATTTTTATTTAAAAATGCATTTTTGGAAAAAAAAAAGGCTAAATGACTATTCAAATAAGCTATCTTATTGTAAGAGTGGAGCTTTTATATTAACTATAATCACCATTCTTTTATTTAATCAACTCTTAATAAGTTATAATCAAATAACTTATTCTTTTCTTATTTTTTTGTCAATGCGTTCCAGTTCTTCAGTTGTCGCATTTATTTATTGTGCTGTATATTGTATTTTAGCCAATAAGCCTTATGCTATACCCAAAGATTTAAAACCCTGTTTGGTATAGCTTCTTTAATCAATGATCACGGGTTCATAATGTAGTTACACTTCAATTTCAGAAAATTTTTTGGATATCTTATATTTGATCTGGAATAGTAGATAACCTGTTTGGGTTTTCAACAGGTATGTACATATGTAAGAGATTCAAATTGCATCTTTTATATAATTTGTTTCATGCTTATGCAATAAATCAAAATAAATGAGGTGTAAATAATGAGTAACAACTATATATGAATTTGATTAATTATTTTAAATTTGTTATACTAATCAATGCTCTGTAAAAAACATTGTATAGTTATTATAGGCATTGTCTAAAAAATAATTGGAAGGGAGTTAATTTTCCGAATGGGGTTTATGCTTGTACTGTTTTTATTATGATGTTTGTATGAGGTGTAAAAATAGAAAACTTTTGATTGAAAATTATCGTATAAAAAATGTATAAAAAACATATAAAAAACATATATAAAACATGTCATCTAACAAACATGTTTGGAAAGGAAAGATTTTTTTTTTAAAGAGGCATGTTGGAATAGATTTAGTGTTTTAAAAATTATTTAAGTTGAAATGGAATTTAAGTGTAGCTCAAGTTAGTACAAAATTTAAAAGAAACTTAAGTTGATTTTAAATTTAATATATATCATAAATTATTAGATATAATATGTAACAATTTACTATAAAACACAGTGCAAAGTACCCCCTTAATTTAGACCAGGCATGATTCAAGGTTATTTGTTGTGGTGTTTTATAATAGATCCAGGTATAAATCAAGGACAATTTAATAATGATTTGGTTTTTTTTCATAATGTGCTAATATACTCTTCTTACAAAATACCCTACGTAATATACTTATGCTATACAATATACCCAGGGGTATAAATCAAGGTTTGTTGTGATGTGGAATGTAAAATACCCAGATACATTGCACTGTGTTTTATAGTAAGTTGATTTTATTAATTTCGATAGATTAGTAAAGGTGTAATGAGTTGGTTGGAATGACAACCATTAAAGTAAATCTTATTTTATTTTAAATATAAGTAAATACAAACTTTTACTGTATACAAATCTATTAGTTTTTTAATAGTGATGAAATAAGATATCAAATAAAAAGGACCATAAAATAAATAATTTATTTTATAGACTAATCATAGTAAAGCATTGAATAGAATTATATATTTACTTTAAGTTAAATTTTGATGATTAGAGTAAACAGAAGGAGATTGCTCTGATGCATTCAGATTAATTAACATGTCTTTTGCCAGGTCTGTTAACTTGCACTGATTTCTAGTTTGTGTATATGGTTTAGCTGATGAAAGTTTAGTTTTAGGTACCTTAATAACTGAAGATTTTTTATTAGAATCGATTCTTTTATGTGATTCAGCAGTCAAAAAAAAGTTAGTTGCATATTGATTAATAGTTGATGGTTCTCTATCAGGATTAGCTTGTATAAATGGTTCAGCAATTAAATTAATGACAGGTGGAGTAATCATCAGCAAGTTTTTATTTTTTAGATGTTTAATATCAAATTTTGCGGCTATTGTTTCAGCAAAACTAACAGTTTTACTTGATTCATCAGAAATTTCATCATCCCAAGGAATTTTAGAGAAAGTATCTACATTAATTGATGACTTCAGATGACCTGAAAAGATTATACTTTTAGTGTGTACATAACTTTTGTTTTTGTACAAAAAAAATTCACTGTTAATATAAAGAATCGAATTCTTTTTTATAGCTGGAGTTATACGAATTAAATAGGGCGCAGATGCTAAGTAGTGGCATTTTATTTCGGTGTCACATTGATCTTGGTATATGTGGTCAGTTACCAAAACCATCATAAAAGTGTCCTCATCATCAATATGCGGAGTTCTTGTACTAATGCAATCATACTAATTAAAGCTGAAAATCTCAGAAGATCATTTGGTTCTAGGTCAAGATGCACAAGATCGCTTAGAATATTCTGTATACACATTCATGAAAAAATGAATTAATTAATGTATCACATATGTTATATTATTAACATAATCAAAAAATAATTTACACAGGATCATAATTTAAAATAGGTTTTGCACAGTGTCAGAAAGTTATTAGGTTTGAAAACATAAATTACCGTAGTGTGCTGACTAAAGTACCTTCTTTTTGTGTATTCTCCTTGCAAAATACCCTGCGCAAAACACAAGATTTTTATTAATTAAACATATGTATATGCTTGAAATTTTTCTTGCTTGTGACACAGACCCATAACTAGTAATGGGCAAATTGCAGTTTTTTTTAAATCCTGCACGGCCGCGCGGGATCCACGTATGATCCGCAGGATAGGATAGAGTTTTTTAATTTCTCATGAATAATAAATATATTCTTGATGCATTACTTTTATATAAAAAATTAAAAATTTTAGATTCTTTACGTTATTAGTATTAACAGTTTAAGAAATTAAATTTTCTATGTGGAATGATAAATAAATAAAAGGTTCTACAGAGAAATGTGTGCATATGTACATTAATAACAAATTAGGAATTGGCCTGATTATGTTAATGCACGCCGGATTAGATGTAATGTAGGCCAGATGAAAAGCTAATGTGGACTGAATAATTTCATATTAAAAATCCCGCGCGGGATCCAAAAAAATCCTGTGCATCACACGCATGATCCTGCGTGGGATTCCGCACAGATCCCACGTGTTGCCCATCACTACCCATAATAGTACAATAGACCTGGATACTTTAGTCAGTGCACTATGATATTAGATTTATATAGTAGAGACAAAACTTAATAGATTAATCTTATAAGATCTGACAAGTTATCGATTTTGAGATGATCGACCTTGAAAGTTCAACAGTAATTATAATACTACGATTCTGTAAAATTGATAAACTGTCAAATTCGATAAAAAATCAATCCATCAAGTCGTCTTTGAGGATCAACTATAATGTTTTAAAATTCAATACCAGTACAAAACTCATCCACAGCGCGTATAGATTTGACATTAGTTATTCATTACATGTATATATTCAACAAATATAAATCTTAACATACTTTTAAGGCAGAAAGATTTTCATTTTTTTCATTTATATATTCAACTACACAAAATTTTCCGGTCGCAAGAATTACATTTTCTTTTTTAAATGGGTGAAGACTGAATTTTTGAGTCAAATTTTGAGAATAAAACCCCTTCAAAAAAATTATTAATGGTGAATTTAAGCTTCGGGATTTCATAAAACCTGAAGCATCGGCTATATAGATATTTTTGCCAGAAGTCATTTGATAGTCAGTTACATAACAAAGTACAGTAACAGTACCCGGCATATTTTTTTTTTTTTTTTTTTTTTTCGAGCAGCAAAAAAGAAAGACTTCAATGATGCTTATTCTTTTCTCTTTTTTTTTTTTTTTAAATAATTATTATTATTTTTTTTTTTAATAAATAAAAATAATAATATTATTATTATTTATCATGAAAATATATAAATAAACAAAAAATATAAAGGCATTGCGGCTCTGGCATGCTAGTTGGATCAGACATACACAGGGCTAGGTTTTCAGCCACAAGTACAATAATATTTATTATATTTAGCCAATCAGATCACATTGAAAATAGACAGAGATGAA